TTATGGCTATTATATTGAGTTTAAAAGTATTTAAAGATAAAAACAAAATACATCTATGGATTTTCCTTGTTTCTGATTGTGACATGAAATATAGTTGAAATTTTTAAACTCCAAATGAATGCTCTAAATGCTATTGTGGTGGGAGGTAATCATAGTTATCTCCCCTTGAAACTGCACAACTATAAAAGAAATGGATGAACCTTACTTATAGGCAGTAGTCAAATTGCACTGAATAAATCTTCACCACATATTTAAATGTTCGTTACCTCTTTAGTAGGTACCTGACTCCCCCTGCTATCTTCTACCTTTACAAGAGACCAAAAATGGACTACTGTTGCTATACATGGACAGAAGCTGCCCAGTTTTCACTTTCCAGTGTTGGTAGAGTCCAAAAGAGTCTCAGCATCCTTGTGGGTGATTAACTATTTCCCACCCTACAGCCCCTTTCTCACAGACAAAACGTAGGAAGACCCCTCGCTGCTCTATTGCTAAGGAAAGTGTTCAAACGAACTACATTCCTGAGTTCCACCAGTTCTAACCTTCATGGTTAAGACCCACCATACCCTCATTCCCTTCGTATGATGAGATGTAAGTCCCACTCAAGCAGATTCTTCCTATGAACCACTGCTTTGTGGAACTATTCTCTCAAGAGGATGCTCCTCCAATCACTTCAGTCTTAACCTGAATAAGTCTAGGGCTAATCATTATCTTCCTCATGAATTAATGTTTTTCTAAGTAAACCCACTTTTCTTTTTATCTTGGATTTTATATTTATAGTGAAAGCAGCTACAGTTATCTCCCTTTTGAACTACTCGACTATAAAAGAAATGGTTGAACCTCATTTATGGGCAGTAGTCAAATTGCATTGAATAAAGCTTCACTACAAGTTTAACTGTTTATCTGTTTTTCTTTACAGCTATAATGCTGAGTTTAAAAGTATTTAAAAATAAAAACAAAATGTATCTAAGGTTTTTCCTTGTTTCTGACTGTGACCAGAAATATAGTTGAAATGTCAAACTCCAAATGAATGATCTAAGTAAGTGTTTCTCAACTGAGGGTCTATGTAACATTACTGGGGGGGGTCCACTGGGATTCACTCTTCTGGGAAATGTTGTTATTGAAGTTTTTGTTTTTCATTTGTTGTTGTTTTGTTTAAAGAGTGAGTCCCACTTTATTTATTTCTTATTTCATTGAAAAAGGACACAAGTGTTTGTGTGAAAATACCGACTTTAAAATATTTCTTTTCATGCTTCAATTTAGTCAAAAGGCCTACTAATATATAATATTATCTTATTGACAATATAGTTATCATTTTGTAATCTTTTTATTCCTTAAATCTCATTAACCACCCTATTAAATCCATCCACGCACACACACACATATATATATTATTACTCTAAACATTATTTTAGTGGATACAGTTGTTTGAGTAGACACCTTATTTATTTTTGTCTTTTTTTTGGGGGGGGGTTAAACAAGATTAATTACATCTACAGTCCTGTGTATTCAAAAACTTAAAGGAAATATGTGCTCTTTGGGAGAGTTCAAACTTGCATCCCACTTTGTAGAAGGAACTACTCTTTACTTTAGATTGCTTGACCACAAAGAGTGTCAGAGTCCAAAGAGTGTCAGAGTCCAATAAGGTACAATTATCTTTTTTAAAAGAACCTAGATCTTCTCCTTCAGATCTACTCAAAAGTCCATATCTGCTGATTTTTTATTTTTGTATCCTGAAATGTAAATAAAGTTAATTCTAAGGAAATTTATAAGTTTTATTTTTAATCCAACATTTTATTTTATTTTAGTGGATTTGGCAAACAAGGATTAGCACAATTTATGACTTTTTGAATTCAAGGTGAGATGATGTGTCCATTTATACAGTGTAACCCGGATATAAGAGAGTTGTCGGGACCGGAGAAGAAGTCTCTTATATCCGGGTTTCTGTTATATCCGGGTTTGGTCTATTTTATATACATTAACACAGACTCTAATTTGGGACCAGATAAAATCTCTCTTATATCCGGGTTTCTCTTATATCCGGGTTACACTGTAATTCATTGAATCTGAAATGCCACAAACTATACTAACATTGCTTTAACAAATCAAATGTGGATGTAACCTGATTAACTATTGCAAATTAAACAACACAAAAGTAAAAATACTAGAATTATATCTTTTCTTATTTAAACCGACAGATTATTATTACTTAAACATTATTTTTTTTAGTGGATTCTCATATTTGAGTAGATGCTTTGCCCATTGGATTAATAAACAAACAAAAAATTCATTCCTTTCTTTGTTAATGTTAGAATATGAAACTGAATAGATATGTTTATTTCAAGTGTCAGAGAAAAATCTATTTAAAACCACTATTCAACTTTGCTTGGTCATCAACACACTTTGTAACGGGGAATGCAAGTTCGGATCCTGCTGGAGAGTGCATATTTTTCTCTAATAAGATTTCTGAAATATTAAAAAAAAAGGAAAGAAAAAAAGTATTATATATATATATATATATATATATATATATATATATATATATATATAGGAGCAAAACACTTTATGTAACCACACAACACTTTGGTTTTGACTGTAACATATATTAAAAAACATCTTTCTTTTAAAAAAAACATCTTTCTAGCAGTATTACACTTATTTTTGTCTCGGAACTTTACCTGAAATTGAAAAATAACATCCATGCCTGAAGATGAAACAAGTGTCATCAAAAGTACTTGCAATATGGACTGAACATCTAATTCATTTTACAGTTTTTAAAAACAAGGATCACGTTGTTCAACAAGTGGTTAGTGATTTAATGCTTTATTTAATCTGTTAGTGAGGTGATTTCGCCATTAATTACATTAACTTTACTGATTTATTCTTTGTAGCACTATTTCTTTACAATATATATATATGGAGGAATTAATGAATTTCATTTTTAATTCAACATTATTTCTTATGACTTTATTTTAGTGGATACACGTACATATTTTTTGAGTTTATTTTTTTTTTTTTTTTTTTTAAACACAGTGAATTATGTCTGCCAGCTTGCACATCATATTTTTTAAAGGGGCAGGGTTTGAATGTGCATCCTCCTTATTTTTTTTTTTTTTTTTTTTTTTTTTAAACATCAGTGAGCAAAGTTTTTCAATTAGGCTGGTGGGAGAAGAGTTTGAAGGGGACTGTCCCCCCCCATGAATGTTTTTTAAGATATGTGATATAGCAGAATCATTTTGAGACTACCTTTACTAACATGACGACATGGTGTCATATTCATTCTATCCATCCATTGATGTAAAAGTCTTCCCAGTGGACCAGGGACCAGTGCCATTTTTGTGTCATATAATTGTATAAGAACAGTCCAAAAAAATACTATTTGAATATTCATAGTATTATTAATTTATATGCAGAAATACATAAGGGACATAATAAAAGTTCTTTTCGATTTTGTTGAATTATGTCCATGATAATGGCATTTTCAATTCTAGGTGGGTTCCAAGTCAATTGCCATGTCACATTATGATGATGATGTTAGCATACATATTTTAGCTCACTGTTTTGCTGTTCATTATATCATATTCATTAGTTGTATTACAATCACATTTTATATGAGTGTTGTTTAATTTGCAATGGTTAATTGGGTTACACATGTATTTGACTTGTTAAAGGATTGTTAGTATAGTTTGTGGCATTGTGAATTCAATAAATTCTGAATACATCATCTCCCTTTGAATTCAGAAAATAACAAATTATACATACAAATGCCCATGTGACCTGATTAACCAATCAAACAACACAAAAGTAAAAACAACAGAATTTCTCTTTCTTCATGTCTCATTCTTTGATGAAGCTTTAATAAAAGTGAAACAAGTTAGATTGTTAAATGTTTACTATTTGTTCTTTATCTTATCATTCATTTATCTTATATATGAGGTATGGTGGAATAATGGATAGTGGCTCAGATTGAAGAACTGGAGAACCAAGTTCAAATTCCGGTTGGATCCATTACATTCACTTACGTGCTAATACCCTTGGGAAAGGTATGAATCCTCCTCTTCTCCCCCAGCTATGGGTAAATAGCAGGTCAGACTGGGTTCTATAGCCATGGATGGCAACTGGTCTAGGAGGACAATTCTGAATTCAAAACCTGTGGAGGGTCATTTGGGGACCTTGTGGCAAATTGTACACCAGGTTTCTGTATTTGGCTCTTCAAAAAATGTGGTTGGTTCTGCACAAGGCCTTCACCACAATAATCGAATGATTTGTGCAGGTGGTCTGGTTGTCAGTTTCTAGGAACTGAATTGCTTGACCCTCATATGTCAGAAAAATGATGGGGGAGTCCATTGTATATATATATATATATATATATATAAACAAACAAATTTATCTTAAATATATATTAATCTTCCCTTATTGAATTGGAAAATGTCCAAAATACTTAACTGAATCTCATAAGAACAGCAATTTATTTTTGGCTTGAAATCAAAGATTGACGTTTTCTTATTTAACTTGTAGCAACAGACCCTACTCTTGTCACACATAAAATCATGCCTTCTAATCATTCTCCTTTCATAAAGCACTCAACCAAATGTGATATCTCTACATGAAATATTTACAAACTTGAGATGTTCCCAAGCCAGATAAGTTAATCTTGTACTTTTATTAATCACTCAAGTGTGCTACACATAAGGTCACTGCCACAGGAATAGTTGTCTGGTCACGTAACATCATGTCACGAGTACAATACCCCATAGGGGCACCCCATATACTGCAGTGTTGTGTCTAGGGTAAGATAGTCTGACAGAGCCCATCCCCTTTTCAGGTAGGTTTGGTAGACATCCTGTGTTTTTTGGATGGATGGATGTTGGATTTAACGGCATGTCAACTCCTATTTGTGTTTTTTTGGGGGGGTTTCTTTTAAGTATGAATTACGTCTACTGGCCTGCACATTTGAGAAACTTCATAAAGAAAAATATGCTCTCCAGTAAACTAAGAGGCCTATGGCCACATCCTATTGAAATACTGGCTCTCATACAATCACTGAAGTTAAGCGACATTGAGTCTGGTCAGTACTGAGATGGGTGACCACTTGGGAATACCAAGTGCTGTAAGCTTGGATGTGCAGCTAATGTAATAAATAATAGCATGGAATTGTTAATCAGAGAGCCGAATTCCAATTCCTATTGGGCTTATTATATTTATTTATATGCAAATACCCTTGGGAAAGGTATGAATCGACCTCTTCTCCCCCCAGCTATGGGTTAATTAATAAGACTTGTATCACTAAATCATTATTATTTTTAAAAATTCTTCTAATTCTAAAAATATTTTCTGGCTATAAATAACCTGCAAAGGCTTGATAAGTTCAAAGTTCGTTGTTAAACATCTATAATTAATGCATTTGATAAATTGTTGTGCAGAAGATCCCTTTTGTATTCATAGATTCAGTTTTTTTATTCCAGTTTTTAACTTGTTACACCAGTTGGGATAAAAATTGATCAGGTCATTTTTGCCAGTAGATTTTCTGTAAACCTCAAACTGAAGTTATTATTTCTATTCTGCAAGATATCTAGGAAGGGTAAAGTGTTGTTACACTCGAATTCTAGGTCTATAGAGGGTTCAATGTTATTAAGTTTGTCGACAGGATCAGGTAAAATTATGTTTTAGGGATATATTAACAGAGAGTCATCTATGTATCATACTTATTATAAAACCCAGGTTGTGTGTGTGTGTGTGTGTGTGTGTGTGTGTGTGTTTGTTCGTTTATATATTGGATCGGATTTCCTGGATTTTCAAACCATTTCAACAAAACTTCACAGGACTATGTAAAATTACCTTTGGTGGTGATTCTGACAGAGCCAAAATTGGAAAAACACAATTGTTTTGCATGAAATCAATTTGAAAATATGATTAAGAGGCATCACTGTCGCGAGAATGAAAGGGGGACAACTCATATGGAGTTATACTTATTATAAAACCCAGGTTGTTTGTGTGTGTGTGTGCGCCGGTTCATTTATATATGGGATCGGATTTCCTACATTTTTCAACCGATTTCAACAAAACTTTTTTTTTTGCAGGTAATGTTTCTTATTGTCTTGCACACTTTTTTCTTTACTTTTACATTCAGAATGCTTTAAAAATTCCATTTACAAGACAATTGTTTATGATAAAATTCTATTCAATCGGTAGACTCATAACGATTGAAAACAATGTTTTTGTTTGAGTTTGGGTTTGACCAAATCGTAAAAAAAAAAAAACAAAAAACAAAAAAAAAAAACTAATTAAGACATGTGTGTACGTCAACCTTAAACAATAATCTTTGTCAATTTTATTTTTCAGTCTTTATGATGGTCGATACTTGATCTATCTCTTACTGTTACATCCCCGGGCAACGCCGGGCTCTACTGCTAGTCTGAAATAAGAATTTAGTGGTAAAATATTTTATTTAGATATATATATATATATATATATATATATAAATAAAAGTGAATATTGAAGTCAACACTTAGAGGCAACAGTCTGTTTCATACTAGATGCAATCGTCAGGCCTGACCAATGTTCACTTTTATATTTATATACGCCCTATCTCTGATATTGAGCACTTTATCCCATAAATATAGCACACCTAAGGACTATATTTCTTTATATATATAAATAATATATTTTAATTTAAATAAAAACAGACCACTTTAAGGCTCCATTTGTAATAATTTATTTCACCAGAGAATTTTATTTTTCTCTGGATCTTCAGACTTCACTTTCAAAAGGTGAAATGAAAAATGAATTTAAAATTTACACTTTTGATGGGCAGTATTAAGCTTATATAAGTTGACATAGAGGGTGGTGAGGAATGGTACAGATTTTAACACTTGATAGTAATTTAAATCTTTAAAAACTCCACAAAGAAATTAAATTTAATGCTTGTTAGCAATTTAAATATTCAACTTCTCCAAAAATAAATTAATAATTTAATATAAGTCAAATACTATATTAATAAACAAGAATAATAAAAAAAAATTAATATTGTGAATGACTGTTAAGGTAAAATCTTTATCAGTTAGAGTCTAATCCATGAATTTAATTTGTAGCTATTTCTAGATGAGTAATATTTCTTAATTAAAGTTTAGGTTTGAAATCAAGGAGTAAGATTTGAAGGTAATAGTGAAAAATTTACTGTTTTTTCATACATACACCACATACATATTTACGTACAAACCATGTACATGTATCGATATATATGCATATACAAATACTCGCATATACATCTAAATATGTATATAAGTGAACTTAGAAGTCAACACATAGAGGCGACAGTCTGTTTCATGCTAGATGCAATCATCAGGTGGCCTGACGATTGCATCTAGCATGAAACAGACTACCACCTCCATGTGTTGACTTCTATGTTCACTTTATATTTACACACACATATATCTCACACACATATCATATATATATTTCTTCATATTATATATATATATAAATATATATATATATATATATATATATATATATATATATATATATATATGAAAATTATATAGAAAATAGGAAATAACTTGTTAGGTAAATAGTCCAAAGTTCTTTAGTATTTTTGTTATTACTTTTTTAAAAATAGTACTCGATACAAAAGTAGAGAGCATAATTATTTATTTAAAAATATAGTTCAAACATGCTACATAAGAGTACTCATGTTTTGAAACATGAGAACTCTTATGTAGCGTGTTGGAATCATATTTTTAAATAAATAATTATATATATATAAAGATTATATATATATATATATATATATATATATATATATATACTCAGTGTGATAATCAGTAACGTACATGAAAGACTCACATTAACGAATAAACTGATAATAAAAGTAATAAACTATTTCTACCTTATATATTCCTGCTATAACTTCATTATAAATTGCTTATTCGAATAATATTTCTATATCTATGAAATCAATTTGTATCCTTGCAAGTTCCGCCAAGAAAATGTAAATATCTACTTATGATTAAATTCACACCAATGAAATGTACTATTATCGTATTGTTATTAATGGTATTTTGTGTTTGTTGATGAAGTAAACGGCTGTTAGTACACCAGGCTGTTTGTAACTGTTTAGATATAAATAATAAAGGGACGAAGAATCAGAATTCAAAAGAGATCATGTGATGTAAACAAAAGAATGGTTTCCCTTTTAGGGGACATGTATAGGAAAAAACATGATATAGAATTGGTTTTGTTATTTCATTTATTTTGAATTTCTAAGAACAATAAGTAACAACATTTCTAATAACATCCTCTTTATATGCAGTTGACTTATACTACAGGTATAGGATAAATTCATGAAAATTTACTATATTTTTTACCTCATCTGAAGGTCACCTTATATGCAAAAATATATGGTATATATATATATATATATATATATATATATATATATATATATATATATATATATATATATATACATACATACATATATACATGTGTGTGAGAGAGAAAAATAAGGTATATTTAGGCAGCAAGTATTCATCCAAGCAAGTTTGATGAAAAAAAACTGGCAAAGTCTGTCAGTTTAATTAATAAAAATTTAAACAGACAAACAGACCTTGTTGATTCTTTTTAATCAAACTGGTTTGGATATTGGCATATATGTATGTATATAGTTAATTGTCAAATTGTTAGGCTAAAAGTACATATGATCAGTGCAATTAACCAGATGGGTGGATACTAAGGAAAACCTGATATGAAGACACTAATAGTCAAATAAGTACATAAAAGAAAGATTTTATAATTTACATATTATAAAGACACCTTATCAACAGATAATAGTAAGCTATGTTAGAAAACTTACTCTTTTATGAAATTAACCTTAGTAAATTATATATGTCTATATATATCATCCACATACAAGCCTATTTCACTGTATCATATCTCAACAGTGTGGCTAGACATCCAATTGCTTCAAGCTGGGATCAAAACTCGATTGATTTGGCATCAGTCAGAGACTCTACTCCTAAGTTATCAGTGCGCAGCAGAGAAAAGGAATCTTTTAACGTATATTATATATATGATGTATATAAATGCCAAATCATCAGTCAGAGTGCTCAGTTCATAACTGAAGAGTGATGAATTAATAGTAGGAGCAGCCACTGTTAAAAATGCACTTTCTCCATATATATATATATATATATATATATATATATATATATATATATATATAATTTCCTAGTGCTGTGTCTTGAAAAATATGCTGGAGTAATCATATAACACTGTTATGACTCCAGACAAAAAAATAATAAATTTTATTCATTTAACATTTAAATAATAAATAGTAACATAAAATATTATCAAACATGTTTGGATATATACAGTGAGGTTGCAAAAGTAGGTATACAGTAAGTATTCTACCAGTATTGTAATAGTGGTTGTAGGATTCACTTAATACTAAAATTCATTTATTTCATTAAAATTATTTTTAATATTTTTATAATTTTTATTCTTTTAATAAATAATAATAATACATGTTTTGCAGGTAAAGATGATTGTGTCAATGACAGAAGCAAATAGTTTGAACATTTGAGGAATTGCTATGTTTATTATTGAGATGTTTGCATAAGCAATACAATTTGTTTTGGGTTGAGGTTTTTTGCATTACTATATACCAGGGGTGGCCAAACTTGTTTAATGTAAGAACCATATACGATAAAGTTCAGAAGTTTGATAGGCACAAGATATAAAGAACAATTTCACATCCATTTTTGTTACATACACATTAACATTAAACTTACATTTTAATCCAATGGGGACTCAATTCATATCCAATAAATAATTATAAAGCTTGAAATTCTTTTTTTATTTACCTTTTATATTAAATGTGATAAAGAAAGGAGCTCAGTCAACATATTTATATATATACCTATATTATTGACCACCCCTGCAAGTCCGATATTTATTTATTAAAGACTTTTTGTAGTTCCCAACATATTTTATAGATACAAGTATTTAAACAAAACGTTGAAGTCAACATTTACAGAGGCGACAGTGTGTTTCATGCTAAATGCAATCGTCAGATTATGTGCATTGTGTTTTTGCTCAACTATTTATATATACAG